AGGAGGGCGGGGCTCCGAGGCATCGGGGAGCCCCTATCTCCTTCTCCAACTGACCGGAAATCCCAGTCCCTCACTGCCCCAATCCAGGACCCAGCGCGGCTTCTCGGGAACCAAATCTCCTCTCTCTCAGAACTCAGCTTCTCCCACTGACCCCGGCTCCACGCCTTCCTTTCAGAGGTTCCTCCTCTTCCCCCAGTGCCCCTCCCAGAGTGGCGGCCGCTACAGGGAGTAAGGGTGCCGCTCTCGGACTCGCCCACCTGCGACCGCCTCTACCACGTGGGCGCGGAGGTGCCCCTGGCAAAGCCCACTGTGCTGTCTGGGAGCCTGTGTGCCGGCTACCCCCAGGGCCACAAGGACGCGTGCCAGGTGTGCACCCCACCTCCCCAGCCTCCGGAGTCCCATCCCTGTGCCTAGCACCCTGCCTCCCTAAACTCCAGGACCCAGGACATACCAACGAAGGCTCAGGGTCCTGGCCCCCAACCCAGAGGCACCACCCCAGGGGTTTGGAACCCTGAGAACTGTTCTGAGGTCCTGGGAGGGCTGAGACCTAGGCTCCTCTTTCTCCTGCAGGGTGATTCTGGGGGACCCCTGACCTGCCTGCAGTCTGGGAGCTGGGTCCTGGTGGGCGTGGTGAGCTGGGGCAAGGGTTGTGCCCTGCCCAACCGTCCAGGTGTCTACACCAACATGGCCACATATAGCCCCTGGATTCAGGCTCACGTAAGCTTCTAATGCTAGCCAGTGAGGCTGACCTGGAGCCAGCTGCTGGGGTCCCTCAGTCTCCTGGTTCATCCGGGGACCTGCCCATACCCCACATCTCTTCTGCCTTGAGGCCAAGATGCCTAATAAAGCTAAAGGCCACCCCCAACCCCCACTCCCCACCTCCTGCCTCCTCTCCTCTTTGGGGCTCACCAGATCTGACTCCACCAACCCTCATCCAGGGATCTGCCATGAGTCCCAGGGGGTGACACTCCCCCCTCCCTTCCTGGCTTGTATTTACTTTTCTCGGCCCTGGTCAGGGATGGGTGCAAGGCACGCAGCGGTGGGCAGACCAGCTGCTGCCCATCTGGCCTGTGTGCCCATCTTTTTCTGGAGAAAGTCAGATTCACAGCATGACAGAGATCTCACACCAGGGAGATCCTCCATAGCTGGCTTTGAGGACACGGGGACCACAGCCCATGAGCAGCCTCTAGGAGCAGAGAGCAGCCACTGCCGACAGCCGGCAGGGAATCGGAACCCTCAGACCCACAGCCGCAAGGCACTGGATTCTGGCAGCACCCTGAAG